AAAGATGAAGTGATCTGGGATATCAGAATCATAACCCTACTCACCATAAACCCCATTGTCCAGGATATGGTTTATACGTCCGGCAATGATGACTTAACATCAGTAATGTGATATCTAGTATCTGTGAACTCAGAAAACCATAGTAGTGAGTTCTTCATAGTCAATTCTTGTGTTTCTCCAAGATTGAGAATGTATGTGAAGATGTGTGCCAATGTGGAGGAAAAAAAGAGGGAAAAAATAGTGGAAGCATGACTATGTTTCTATGTTAATAATTGTCACTCTTCATCATTAAACTCTTCCTGGCTTGATTTTACTTACCCTCTAGATTGATTGATTTTGGGGATAGTTGAAATGTATGGGAACAAAAAGACTTAATTGGCCATTCAGGCAGACAGCTATCATTGGTCATTATACTGCATAACCAATATTATTTTCCCATGTAGTTTACCTGTCAATAATAACTGTTGATACTTACTCTTTTTAATTGCCAGGAAAGAGGTAAAAATATCTTGTCAAAGAGACCCTCTCAATAGTGGGCATCTGGGCTCTGATAGTTGGCTTTTCAAATGACTGTTGCACCTGAAAGACAAAATATAAACAGAGGCTCCAGAGGAGACAAGACTCTTTCATATGTACAGAAACAGTGTGTACCATGGACTAGAACATGCTAGGAAGGGAGGGTACTTCTCAGCGTGATGGCACCAAGCCCACAGAAATTGGAATTTCTGGCCATTCTATTCTTAGAAATGCAGACTGTGCTCTTTATCTCGAACAAACACTCCCTGTGTGATCCTGTCTTTAAGCTCCATTTTCCTTATTTTCTGTTTCTGAAAGCTGGATCTCTATGATCCCTACCAGGGCTGATAGCTCAGTCCCTTGGCACTTAAATGCCAAGGCTCCTATAAAACCAAAAGAGTCAATAACTTTCAAATGACCCTAAGGAGGCTGACCTCTGAAGGTTCCTGCCAAGTTCAAAATGACATCTTCTCACCCGAGACCCACTGTTTTTAGTCAGAAACATCCCTGGGAGCACAATACCTAATTCCAGTATATTCATCAGAATGGAAAAGTTCTTTTAATAAAAATACCGGTGTCTGTCTCATTTCCACCTGTGTCACCAGGATAGCTACCATGACCTAGTTACGCTAAATATGTAATTATATTTATTGAATAAGGCAAGCAATGAAATTTATTACAAAATATGCCTTCCCTTCTATGAATTTTAAGCACTTACAAGCCATAACATAAGCTTCTGCTTGATATGTTCTTGTTCTATTTTTGATTTCCAGCTGTGATATTAACATATTCTCTTTTCAACCCAGTTTTTAATGCACAGATGAAAGAGGTTAGGTGCTGTTCTACTTTTGTTTCCCTGATGAAGTTTGGCTTTTGCTTGAAGGTGAATGATAACGAATGTTTCCCGAATGCAAACAGAATGAGCAGTAAAGAAAAGAGAAGATTACCTTCCGAAACACTTCCTCCAGATGATAGCACCAAGAATATTTTTGGAAGCATGCGATGAGCTCTGTGATGAAGAGAGAGCCCCTCAACGCATCTCTCCAAGACATGTTATCTAAGAAGATAAAGCATGTAACTCTTGGGTAAACTTTCATTGTCTTTATTTTTCATTTACATGCTCTTTTAAATCATAGTTTGGGGATTCTCTTGACAGGTGTCGGGGAAGCACTTATAACTTATTTTCTCATAGACAGGATGAGTCAAATATAACTATCTGGCAGAGAAGGAACTACAGAAAGTCTGTCAGACTAACAGGCGATCTCCTCATGAACAAACACATTGCCAGTGCTTAGGCTGACTTTCTACTGCAGGCCTCACTTCACCTCACTTGGTTTAGAAAAGACACTTGAGTAATAACTGGAACGATCCCATTTTATAGGGGAAAGAACAGAAAACCAAACCAAACCAAAGATGTTTGGGTTCCAATGTTCTTTTTCAGACAACACAGGGGTGCCTTTCAAAATGTAAAACATAGACAGCTTCATTTAAGCATAGAGATGCTTAAGAATGTAAACTTAATAAATGCACCAAAGAATGTAAACTTAATAACCCTAACTCAAAACTTCTCTCAGACTGTCCCTGCCTGGAAAGTAGCTCATTCCGAGGTCGTGCCAGGAAGACAAATCCCTGTCTGACATGGAAAGTCACATACGTGGTGTGGAAGAACAGAAAGCAATGAAGTCCTTCTCCACATGGGTCTTGTAAGTAGCATCTTCCTCCAGGTTCTCTGCTGATGGTGAAGAGCTATTTTCTGACGTGGATGGAGAGTCACTGACCCATAATTCTCCACGGTTCACTGCAGAGACAGGAACGTTCTATAGAGGGCTGTCTCTCTCAGTATTACTATGACCATCGCTTATCTCTCACACACTCTCTTTTTTTATTGTTTATTCTAACAAGTTTCACACATGCACACACAGAAACACACACATCACTCCACCTTCTCTTTAGTATCATTGAATAATTTGTTAATAAACAAATTGAGACAATTTAAAAAAACGGGAAGAACCCATTTGTCAAGAAGGATGAGGAATTAAATTGTTGGCCACATCATTTCAGAAGTTAACTGCTTTTAGCTAAATTTTTTCTACTTTTTAACTTAGTTGGTGTTTTTGATTGGATTAGTTTGGGTTTGGTTTTTGTATAACATTGTTTCCAAGAACCATTTGTCAATTGGCAGTGAAAAAAATTGTTTTGACTGTATTTCCCTAACTTCCTTATCTTAATCTTCGTTTCCTTTTCAAAAATGTATGAGGGAAGTAGGGAACGCATGCTGCTGCTACATAATGGTCCTACTTTCAAATAAAATTCTTCTCAAACGAGAAAATGTCAGTAAACAATTAACAAGGAAAGCTATCATGAAAATTCTTCTATCCTAAGCCTTGATTACTGTTGGTAAATGATGATTGAGAGGTATTGGTAAAATTCTTCATCACGTTCCAAGGATGCTGTTGCAGAGAAACTTTTCCACTGACCAGATATGTTCTCATGGTGCCAACCCCGTGATGGGGTCTTCAAATAACCCAAGTTAGCTTAACGACACTGGCTTGAGAATGAGATTGTTTTCTGCAGATCCAAAATGTTCACCTCAACTCTCTTCAGACCTCTCCTTGACCTTTGGATTCTTTGTTAACTCACAACTCACCACCTCTGCAGGCCTGGGCAATGATGACCTTGGGTTTGTCTTTTAGACTGCGGCAGTTACGGTTGTTGAAAATCTGGAAGATGGTGTCGTAAGCTAGCACGTCCGGTTGTGTTTTGCTATGCTGCGTTCCGCAGATCCCTTCCAGGAGGCCATGAGACATGAACACCAAGAAAGTGCTGTCTGAGGACCTGTGTTCAGGGAGGGCAGCGAATGCCTGCAGCACTGATTGCATCTCCTGAAAAACACCACCAAATCACACTCAAGAATGCACACATTACCACGTGACAACACCCAATGTTTGCGACAAGCCATGCAAGAAATATGCCTAAAATCCCTATTACATTCCAGTAGTTATTCAGTGAGGATCGTGTATAATGGTTATCTCAATAGCAGGGCAAGGTGTTCTAACTTTATGCTTTTGTTAAAATACTATTATCTCTCCCCTTGATACCTTTTAACTAAGTAGTTAGCATTGAGTCGCTCCTAAATCACAGTGTCTCCATGTATGTCAGGCTAGTGCAGCTCCATAGGGCTTTCAATTACCCATCTTTGGGAAGGAGATTCCAAGAACTGCCTTCCAAGGCATCTTCAGGGGGACTCACACCTCTTAACTTTCAGTGAGCTGATAAGTCCTTATTCATTTGCACCTTTCGAGAGCTTCTGATACATTTGTCATGTATTTATTGTCACTCATATTACTCTTTTCTGTCTATTTCTATTAATCCCCTTTTTATCTGGTAAGAGCTTGGTGCTATAAACACACCCTACCAAGTTCCACCTAAATCCCTTTCCACTGTGCTTAGAATGAAGCCAAACTTCTGGCCTCACTTTTCTCTCCACTTCCAATATAGTCCCTTTCCTCAAAGTTCTAGTTACACTGGTCTTCTGGCTCTGTTTCTTCATGTGTCAGACTCATTTGTGCTTTAGCTCGTCCACCTGCAGTGACCCTGTTTGGTTACACTGCACCCACACCTCCCAGGACTCTCATCCCGAGGAGTTGTGATGGCTTACACCAGGATTCCTTGAATGGTCTTCCTGGATCAAATCATCAAACATCACTCTCACATTTTGTTTTTTCTTCTTTCTTTTTCTTACATGTTTCCCTCTTTTTCTTTACCCACTTACAACTTTCTAGAATTATCTGCTTTCTCATATTTTCATTGCTTTTCACTACATTGTCACAAGAACTCAGACTGCATATTTGTTTGGTGAGTGTACTGTGCACCTCTTTAAACATTCATTACTTCTAGAAGGTCCTTGAGAGCCTTCAGGTTTCATTCCAATCACGACACTTTAGAATTAAAAATCAAGGAGTACACAAATCAATATTTTTTTTGCTCAATTTCATGGACTTGAGGTTGAGATTAAAAACAAATTTCAGTTTCAATAACCTAATACATCGATTGTATACACTCATATACACTAATACACAAATATAATCACACACTTACACAAATTGACCTAAATTTATGGAGATAATCTGTCAAAAGAAATATATGTTGAAAGCCTATGCACTGGGGGTGCGTAAAGAGTCCCTACCATGGCTGTGAGTTGAGTTTCTACGGTCACTTTGTAGCCCAGGCCTTCAAGCAATGTCTGCATTCCTTCGATGTCCAGAGTGGCTCCATTCCTTACAGGAAGATGGTCGAACTCTATATTACAAATAATGAGAGCAAGCCGGGTCCGAACTTCCTCCTTTTCTTTGATTGGATAGATCTGCAGAACATGGAAAGGCTATCAGTTCAAGTTACTAGTGTGTCTTTTAAATTTCCATAAACTAATCAGTGCCTTACATGAAGAGCTCAAAACAGCCCTTTCCCCTAAACTCTAACACAACACACTGATTTTCTATCATTTGTAAAGGATTATGCCGACACTAGAAAAAAGTGAAATGATTTGAAAGAGAATTATTTTTCAAATGCCCGAAGTAGAACATGCCTTGAATGGTTACTTAATTATCTTGGGAAAAAATGGAAAAATTCTTTCTCCCCATTTTATTCAAATATATTCTTAGTGTTTGAGGTTCAAATCAAATTTAAGAGAGAGTCCTTAGTGGCCCAGCTCAAAAATGAATGAATGAAAGATATTTTACTTTGTTAGCTAACTCTTCCGGCATTATTTCTGACACAGCAACTTATAGTGATGTACATATACATATGTATATATATGCACATATATACATATACATACACATATTTATATATAAAATGCTTCAATGCAAACATCTAGTATTTTCAGCCAGAATTCAAACAATTATTAATCTAGTATGGTACTATGTAAATATTTTGATTCCATGACTACTGCTAAAATTATAAATCTCAAGTAGATATAAACAAAAATGGAACAAAGCATGCATTTATACTTCACCAGTGTTGAAAGAGAACAGGAATCAGGTTAAGGCCACATGATCTCATTTTGTTCAAATATCTACAAAAAGATGATCACTGTCCCCCGTAATTAATGCTTTTTAAAAAATGTATATATAAATAAAGATATGTCTTCTCCCTCTTTCGATTCCCCTTTCAAGCGCAGAACAGTGCACCTCTCGAGCCTTTTCTTTGCTCAATCTCAGGAACTTTTCGTGAGGACACAGCCTGAGGGTGTCTGTGAATTCTGCTGATTCATCTGGTCCAGCCTCAATTTCCGGAAGACCTGAAAAATATGTAAAAAATTAATAATAATAATTGTGACATCTGTGGTTATAATAACCCAACTATTGCCTGGTAAGAAGATTGACAAGTAAAGGAAATTCTGGTAAAGTGATTTCTTAATATGTAGGTCTTAGAAAGAGAGGCAGATTCACCCAAAAATCCCATGGTAGGTTCTAAAAACTCTGAAGAAATCAGGTAGATGATTTGAGACAAAATTGGACTCTTTTGTCTTTTCCATCAGGAGGATGTCCCTCATATTTTACATTAGAGGACTCAGTCATGTCAAATTTTTTATTGTTTCTTAGCAAGCTTTTATTGAGTTAATACCAAAGTGGTGGACATTAGAATTATAATAAGAGCCACTTGCGCAATTTAAATTTTCATATCTTATAAAAGCAAAAAAGAAACACGTAAAATTAATATTAATACTATATTTTATTGAACACATCTAAGAAGGAAACTTTTCAAATGTGGTGGGGGGGACAAAACCCTCTCTGCTGTTGCGTCAGTTCTGCCTTGTCACCCCCGCAGGACAGCCTGAACTGCCCAGCGGGTTTCAGGAACTGTAAATCATTCCGGAGGGAGGAAACCTCAGCTTTTGCTCTTGGAAGGACTGTGGTTTCTAACTTCTGTTGACTTTCCGGATTACGGCCCAATGGGGAACCCAGTATGTCGCCAGGGGTCTTTCAAATGTGTCACTAGCCATGATTAGACATGTCATAGCTCTATGTAACTAGTGGTTATCATGTTTGAAGACATTAATGTCTCCTTTTTATACTGCTAATCTCGTAGGAACCAAGCAATATATGTATAAATATACAACAGGTTAAGAGTTTTGAATCTTGTATGATCTAGGTATGATTTGTTAGAAAGATCCACCTGAAATAGAAGTGTCCAGGAATAAAGAGATTCAAAAATTCCCAACGGAACTGCTTAGTCTGATGTCTAAATGCGGAACACTGTTGAGTAACTACAGCGCTACAGCAAAGGTGAGAGACAGAGGCAGCTTTTGTGAGATTTCGTTGCCACCAAAGTGCTGACCCAACCAACCTTAAATGTTCAACCCATGTTTGAGGATGTGAGGAAACCACGCAACCCGGTTGGGAAAGTTTGTTTCTGAATCATCCTGGCCTACTTCCTTGAGAAATTTACCATTGTGCCATTTTGCCCCGCCCTATTTGAAATTGGGCACGAGCTTGCCAAAGCTCTGGGACTTTTTTTGAGAGGAAGAAAGGAAAAGGAATTCTTAAACAGAAAGTAGAACAGACATTTACCACCATCTAAGCCAGTGGTTCTCTGCGACCCTCTAATACAGGTCCTTGTGGTGTGGTGACACCCCAACCATAAAATTACTTTTGTCACTACTTCATAACTGTCATTTTGCTACTGTTATGAATCGGATGACCCCTGTGAAAGGGTCGTCAGGACCCACAGGTTGAGAACTGCTGCTCTAAAGCATTAACAGTTGCATGCTATTGTTGTTTTTGTTAGGTGTTATTTACTAATCTAATAAAAGTTTTAATATAAATGTTTTCTTAGGATTCTTGTTGTGGTTGTTATTAAGCACTGTCAAGCTAGTATGTACAATGGAATGAAATACTGCCCGGTGCCGCACTATCCCCATAATTATCTTATGCCTGAGCCCATTGTTGCAGCCACTGTTCTGATCCATTTTCTTGGTGTTAGATTGACCCGGTTACATGAATCGCAAGCAAATAATGTTCTGCTGTGATTTTACTTATGTAAGAAAAGTAATATCAACTTGTTTAAAATTGTCAATTCTCATTTTTATTATTAGATTTATGCCATTAATTTGTTTTTCATTAGCTTTTTAATAGCTTTTTTAAAAAAATAAGTGTTTTTCTGAAATGTATGGGCGTAAAATCTAGAGAGGCAATAGATTGTAGGAATCTAGAATGCCAACCTTTAAAGATGCCAGACCATTTTAACACTTCCAACTTTTTAATAAATTGAACAAGAAAACATATTTTCTTTTCCCATTCTAAAAAATAAATATTATCTGAGTAAAAGACCTCCAGAATTCTGGGGTAGTCTCTGGACAAAGGGTATGTTTCCTAAACAAAAAGTCTTTCTCTGACATCAGTTTATTTGCAAGTTTGGAGGATTGTTTAGCTTACTACACATTTCCTCCTGTGCACCCATAATGTGCTCAGGGACTGCTAGGGTGTTTTCAAGTAAAAAGAGAAATTAAACAGCCTTTCAATTTTACATAAAATAGTGAAATCAATATCAAAACGGATCCTTTCATCACAAGGCAGTATTACTTGTATAGGTCACTGTCTAAAGGGAGCTCTCATTGGCCTGGCAGTATGGCAGGAAGAAATGAAGGAACTAGAAAGTTCACCTGTACCTTTGAATTCCTGAGTATGGAAATCTCTGCAAACTGAGAATGTCTGAAAGAAACGCCATAGGTATAGACTAAGATTCCTCCCTTGACGGTAGAACTTGAGAGGTCACCTTTCTAATTAACCTACCCTGAGTCACCTGGTGTGTGCATATGTGAGTCTCCTTAAATAAAACAAACCAACAAGAGCATAGATGTTATTTTTGAATTCAAATCCATGCTCCACAAATGTCATGTATTCAGAACTGTGTCAATTTACAAAGACCTGTCGAGGGCTTTTATATGTTCTAAAAGACAGAGTGGCCCCAGCTTCCTGGACTCCTGGACTCAAGGTGTACCCTGGGTGCTGTGCAATGGTATCACTATGTAGCTATGAACTATTTATAGACTCCAGGGAGTTACTGATCCCCTCTTAAGAGACTATGCAACTCTCTCTTTTCTATTATAAGCTCTATTAATAGGATAGGCTACTAAGGGTGCCAGATACTAAAGGATAATGGGATTTTTACATCAACTTTTTGAAGTTCCTTTGTATTTCCATATTACCCCAGTTGTTATTATGGGTCCTGGATTGGTAAAATGACTCAGGAGCCCTGTTGCATTAGTTCTGACCCATTTCCTGCATCATTGCTGCATCTATTTAAGAAATAGAGTATTCTTACACCTCCAAGGTTTTTGGAGCAAGCCCTAAACCCACAAAGCAACCCATCTGGATGTGCATAGAACTCAGCTTGGGCCACAATTTCAGACATGAAGGGGACTAGCATGATATTGCTACTATGGAAATGTCCTTTCTTCATTAAAGAGGACTGATTGGGAAATCTTATTAAAGACAGTGAGGAATCTATAATTTATGTTGCCTATTTGGAGTATTATTTATCATAAACCTGTGTTTCAGAGTTAAGAATACCAAGTTACCTTTGGTGGCAAATCGAATCTGTCACTGGTGAACTTATGCCTGAGACTATTCAAGCTCCATTAATGGTCATAATTCAGTGTGGGTCAAAAGTTTTGAAATATATAATTTTAGACATTATATGGGGATTCTCCTGATCATATTTTGGGGGCTTAAAGAAATGGGTAAGCAATTAAAAGATTGAAACTTACCACACATATGATGATAATTACTAGGTCTTATTGCAAGCATGTATTTTTAAAATTTTTTATTGATTATTTACTAGAAACCCACCATGCTGTTATTCATTGGTAAAGAAAATAAAGCAAAGTGAAAACAAAAACGGTATGTTTATAATGTAGTTTGGGGAAACCTGGTGGCTGTCAGTTTCATTCAATGACATAGAAAAGGTATAGAAACAGATCGCATGAGGGATTCAAATATTTCATTTTAGATAGGTTTATTTTGTAATATGAGGTGAATATCCAAGAGGGAATGTTTATCATGGAGCTGGAGCAGAATGGCACTAGAGGAGAGTTCTGGGCAAGAGCGAAAGCCTCCAAGGTGTCAGCACATAGCTGGCATCAATCACTCTTACAAAGCTTTATGAGGGACTGGTATTGCCGCATGCCGTGGATGCTGAGAAGCATACGACGGAAGGCAAGAGACCTGTACAGATTAACACGGGCCCCAGGCAATAGGATCTGAATTCTGATTTACTTATCCTTCACAATAAATCCCTATGAACAGTTAGTCATTGTGACCAAACATAAAAGAGCCACCTTCCTGGTTTATTGGAATCTGAATCTCCACTCACAATCAATATAAATAAATAAAATATATGGCAGGCATCTAAGAAGCCACTACAGGCTTAGTGAAAATCGATATAGTAGAGCAGAGTGGGGGCCTCAAATAAACCACTGGAGAGATGTTGGAGCTGACAGAGCCTGGACGGTACAAGACACCCATTGCGTTTGACTCCAAACCCACATGTGTGCATGAATGCAGGCCTACCTCCAGCACCAGTGAGCGCCTTTCGCATACTAAACAAGGTTTCAGCCAGAACTTGGCCTAAGTCTTGATGTTTCTGTCTGAAAGACTTTTCGAAGACTCGGAGTCTGTCTTCACGTTTGGCGTCATAAAACATTTTCTTTTCTTCATCCCCCAATTTCAGATAATCTTGTTCCACCACATTTTCTAAGACGTCAGTCAAGAATTGTTTTCCTAAAGATTCCAAACGCCTCAGTCCGCGTTTCTTCCTATTGGCGCCTGTCGGAATACAAACATTACTTCAACTGAGTTTTAGCTTCGCGTTAGAAATCAAACAAAAAAACAGACTCACTTCCATCAAGTAAATTCCGACTCCTAGAGACTCCCCAGGACAGGGTAGACCTGCCCCTTGCGCATTTCTGAGACTGTAACTCAGCGGTTCTCAACCTGTGGGTCGTGGCCCTTTGGGGGGGGTGGTGTTGAATGACCCTTTCACAGGTGTCGCCCGATTCTTAACAGTAGCAAAATTACCGTTATGAAGTAGCAACGAAAATAATTTTAGGGTTGGGGGTCACCACCACATGAGGAACTGTATGAAAGGAAGGTTGAGAAGCCCTGCTATAACTCTTTAAATGGTAGAAAATAAGGGTCCTTCTATGGAGAGACTAGTGGTTTCAAACTACTGACCTGGTGGCTAGTAGTTCAACACATATCAATAACACCACCAGAGTTTTGTTTAATAATTAATTATTACTTACCATTTTCTTTGGTAGTTTCTCACCTCCCTCTATGACATTGAACTTACTGCTCATTTCCAAGCCATTTACTGATTTTATACATCCCTTTTCTCTTGCCCATAGTTCATGGTGATGATGATGATAATACACCTGGAATGTGTGTTCTCAGGCAGCATATCATATCATTCAGATCCTTTCTCTTCCTTTTCAAAATCCCTTTACTTAGACAATGAATTCGGTTCCATGGACCATAGAATAGTTCCTGTATTTTAATTCTTTGGTGAACACACTTTGCTTTTGAATATATACATCTACAACCATGTGTTATAACCACATCTTTACATTTATGTGCTTAAAAGTACTTCATATATTTTCTGAATACATAAATGAAGAATTAGAACATCTATCCTTAATTTCTTATTCTCAATCAACATTTAGAATTGCATATAATAGAATGAGTAATGTTTTAATATAGTAGGTCATATAAGACCCGATTAATACAGTTTTCTAAGGCAATTTGAATTTTATTAGGGTACCTATAAACCAACATCATAAATCTTATTTTTTATTACTACAGATATGATTTGGAAAGGATTGTAGATGGGGTACAGAATAGTTCTTCATTTCTTAATTAATTCTTTATTGGAAGTTATCCAGTGCATTTAGATGTAAGGGTAGCATTGACAAAAAGGAACATTTTCTAAAAATATGTGCCAGAATATTGAACAAGTATTTTGGCTCAGAATTACTGCTTTCATTGTTCATATTATTGTGAGTTCTTTCAATAAATGTTTCGTTGAAAATATTAAGGGAATGATGTATGGGCATCACTAATTACAAATAAAAGCTCTGGTCGGGCTTAGGGTTAGGTTTTGGACTACTAACTTCAAGGTAGTTGGTTCAAAACCCACCAGCTACTAGGCCAAAGAAAGGAGACGTTGTCTGTTCCCATAGAGATATACTGTTTCTGAAACCTATATGTTATTATGAGTTAGAAAGTAATAAATGGCAAGGGGTTTGGTTTCTTTTGGGAAATATCAATTAAATTAATAATAATTAATACTGCCTGCACTAATATTAATAAGGTATCTATAAACTAGTAAAAATAATTGACATATCATTTGTAAGTCTTTGTGCTTTATAATATTTTAAATATTTATAGTTTTACAAAATATAAATATTAATTTTGTAGACCCTCAAAAATCCAATAAGTTAGTTTATTATTTACCCCTAATTATAGATAATTTATTAACAATGTAAATCATATAAATTAAGATTCAAAATCTAATCTTCTACCATATCTGTTTAGTTAACTATGGCACAACTTTATTGATAATGGTTCATAGTGAGTCCTCATTGTGTCAATAATTTTAAATATAAATTTCACAGAAACCATATACTGCAGGTATATTAATGTCTCCATTTTATGGAAAAGGGGACAGAGATACAGAGAAGGTACTAAAGTAATGTACTCAAGTGCATGTATGGTATGCAAAGGCAGTTTGTCTTTCAATATGCCCTACTCTCAGGAGAAAGGCAGGGGAAGTCTTTAGTTACATAATTTGGTTGCATACAATCACCCAAACCCATGCTATTTTTTTTCTGGGATTTCCATTATGATCATTTGTGTCAAGTGAGACAGGAAGTGGCATTCATTTTATTTAGGGTTCCATAAGAATCTCAATGAAAACATATCCACCTAAGAAACTTTGTCCAAAAACATTTAGAATTAGCATGAAAAAAGGGAAATACTACAAGTCATCATTTCACAGTGCCTAGTGAAAAAAGTCATGACCTTTCGTAAGTAGAGAAGAGTCGTAGAGTGTTGCACAACTTCAATTTCAAAACAGCAAGTTGCAGTTTCCCTCCTCCTGCTTACTAGACTGCTGGGCAAAAAGGACAATAAAACTGTAGGGAAAACTTTGTAGAGGAGGTCTTGTTAAGGTATTATCAAACATGTCAAGACATGACTTCTACAAAACTCTCTCCCATTAAATTACATTACATAATTGCATCCTAATTAAGGTATGCTATTCCATAAATGGGAGATAGATGAAGCTTTTTACTTCTGTAAAATGTTAGTCTCGGAAATCTATAGGGAAAGATCTACCCTGTCCTAAAGGATCCCTATGAGTTGGAATCAACTGGGTTGGGCTGAGCTTCACTCCTCTGAAAGCCAGTGTTGTAGTAGTTAAAAGAGAGACAGTTCTGGAGTCAGACCGTATTGGATTCAAATCCAGAACTGAGAATGGCAAGACTGCATCTCACAGACTTTGGACATGCTACGAGGAGAGACCAGTCCCCAGTGAAGGACATCTTGGTTGATAAAGTAGAAGGGCTGAGAACAATAAAAAGGCCCTCAACAAGGTACATTGACACACTGGCTACAACAATGGGTTCTATCATAAGAACAATTGTGGGGATGGCATCGGACAGGGCAGTTTGTCCCTCAGTGGTACATAAGGATGATACAAATCGGCACCAACCTGGCAGCACCTAAGCACAATAAGAAGATACCACAGCCTTGCTTGCTAAAAGGGAAGCCCTTACTGGTGAAGAAAAAAAGTCAAGATTTCATTCTAGACTACAGCTCAATATGAAAATAACCACAAAGTCCTTATAACTGAACCAGTAATCAACATAATAATCTATGGAGAAAATCTTGACATTCTTAAGGATTTCTTTTAGTTGAACCTATAATCAACACCCATGAAAACAGCATTCCAGAACCTAAATGTACTAAATTCAGTAAATATGATGCCAAATATTATTTTAAGGTGTTTAAAAACAAAACAAGATATCGCTTTGAGAATTAAGGTGTGCCTGATTGACACATGATCTTTTCATTCATCTCTTATCCTTGTAAAAGCTGGACAATGAATAAGAAGGATCAAAAAGAGAGTTAATGTCTTTGAATCATGTTGTTGGCAAAGAATATTGAATATACAGGTACTGCCAGAGTAACAAACAAATATCTCTTAAAATAATTGCAGCTAAACAGCTCTGTAGAAGCAAGAATGACCAGGTTTTCACCCATATACTAAGAACAGACTACAGAGAAGGAATACACTGTCCATGTTAGAAAAATTAGCGACTGACAACTGTGTGGGTGGCAGCAAATCATTACCAGACACTGAAAACCTCATGAATAGAATCAAAACATTCTCAAAGATAGTGCCCCCAAATGAGCCCCTCTGGTCCGAATGCACTCAAAATATGACTGATGTGGATGGAGTAACCCTGTGGGAGTAGAGCCTTGGGGATCTTAATGTGCAGATGGGGCAAATTACCAAAGGAGGACAACCAACTGCAAATGTCACTTAAGTACTGAACACGAAACATATGAAGTATGAATCTAAAAAAAATGGAAGTTGTCAAAAAAGAAAGGGAACACATGAAGAGTGGTATTCTAGGCATTAGTGATGTGAAATGAACTGGTATTGCCCATTTTTAATCAGAAAACAACATGGTTTAATATGCCAGGAATGACACTGTGAAGAGGAGGGACATTGTGTTCATCCTCAAAAATGGACATTTTACGGTCTATCTTTAAGTACAATGCTGTCTGTGATAGGTAATGTATATCAAAACACAAGGAAATCCACTCCAACCAATATAATTATTATTCAAATTTATACACCAATCACTGCCGCTGTGCTGCAGAAACTGAGGAAACCTCTCAATGGATCCAGTCTGAAATTGATCAAACATGCAGTCCAAGATGCATTGGTAATTATTGCCAATTAGAATGCCAAAGTCGGAAACAAAGAGGAAGGAGCAGCATTTGGAAAATATGATCTTGGTGATAAAAATGAAGCTGGAGATTGAATGATAGAATTTTGCAAGGCCAACAACTTCTTTATTGCAAATACCTTTTTTAAACAACACTGAAAAACACTCCATACATGAACTTCTCCAGATGAATACACAAAAATCAAATGGACTACACCTGTGTGAAGAAGCAGCTGTCGTGGTGGTGGTGGTGGTGACTTGTCATGGAGTCAATTCCAGCCCACTGTGACCGTATGCCCAACAGAATGACAGATTGACTGGGCAGGTCCATCTTCACAATTGTTCCAGTAGTTGAGCCTATTGCTTCAGCCATGGAATCGAACTGAGCTATCTCTTTAAGGGTGTTCCTCCTTTTTTGTGCTGCCCCTCTACTTAACCAAACATGATGTCTTTCCACAGGGATGTCCTGCTCCAGGGAAAAACTCAATTTCAGCAGCTGAAAACAGCCCATGGGCTGAATGTGCAACAATCACTTGTTTATATGCCAATTTACATTGAAGTTGAAGAAAATTAAATGAGGTCCGCATGAACCAAAATATGACGTGTGTACACTCCATGCGAGTTTCGAGAACATCTCAAGAAGAGATTTGATGCATTGAACACTGGTGACAGACTATCTGAGGAGCTGTGGGATGACATCACTAACATCATACATGAAGAAAGGGAAAGGTCATTAGAAAGACAAGAAAGACGTTGGGAATTTATGTGCAAGCTTGCTTCATATAATTGATTTATGGATGTTATAATATC